CCATCTAACAGCCATTAGATTAAGAGTGTGATCGGAGAGTTCTTGTGTTCTTCTGCGGCGGGTCTTGCAGAACTTAGCTCCGACCGCATGGACAGTTTCCACGAGCTTGTCATTCATATCGTCCACTTCATTGCAGTCTTCTAGGCACTGAAAACGGTTTTGTAACTCGAGCTGAAAGGTTTCAGGACTTTGGAACAGGGCACGAGGGGGACGGAGCGTTGACTTCGTTACACGAGACCTCTCCAACTTAACGTTTAGGTTCAGTGTGCCTCTAACCATTCGGTGATCGCAACCAGTTTTCACCCTCGCGATCACGGAGACACCACTGAAAAGTTGTCGTCTGGTCGTCATAATGAAGTCAATCTCATTTTTTGTGGAACCGTCGGGGCTCGACCGGGTCCACTTCCTGTGGGGCCGCTTCTGGAAGAAAGATTTCATTATAAAGAGTCCCTCTTTCTCCATGAAGTCAGCCAGCTGCTGGGCCCTTGGGTTCCGTTGCCCTATTCTAAATTTCCCTACTTTCAACTCACCGTTCTCTCTTGTGCCTAGTTTTGCATTGAAGTCTCCCATTAACACCGTATATTGGGTTTTGAGGAATGCATGGCTCTAGAGATATCCTCATACATTTCCTCCACCTCCTCATCGGGTGTGCCGAGGTTGGTGCGTAAACCTGTATGACCTTCAGCGAATACCGTTTGGTGATTCTGAGTATAAGGTACGCAACCCTCGTCGACACACTCCCGATCTTTACAACGTTGTTAACGAGAGACTTGTGGACGATGTATCCGATACCTCCTTGGGACAGATGGTCGCCCTCCCGATGATAGAGCAAGTTGCCGGATTCGAGGATTACCGTGTCCTACCCCTCTCTTCGGACTTCGGATTATCCTATAATATGCCAGCGTAACTTGTCTATCTCTTCTTCCAGCTCCACAATCTTCTCGTCAGTCCTCAGGGTGCGTACGTTGTACGTTGCCAGGTCGAGTCGTCTAAGGTGGCAACCGAACCTCCACCGGAGATTCTTAGCACCCCCTGCCCCGCCGTTACCATGGTCGCCACCGTAGCCAGGAATAGCGGGGCCGCCGGGGACTGGGGGCCGTCTCCTTGTTACTCTCTTCATAGGGGGGTATTTGCCATAGTTGCCACGCTTGGCGAGCGGGTTGACAACCGCAGTTTTTTTATTGTAATTTTGGCTATTATCAGGAAGATGCTGCAGCCCATCTCCTGCCTGTTTCCCTTTGTCGCCTTTTACGACACCCACGGGAAGATATGGGGTAGTGGATATTCTTGACCGCCACTACACGGTAAAAAAAAGAAATATACTTACTTGAAAAAGTAATAATCAAATATTTACCTATTGTACTCCTTGGAATAGTTAAAGTATGATATATTTTTATTTCTTCTATTATTATTCATACACACAATATAATAAACAACCATTATTAATAATACCACGTTTTTGCATTAAAATATTCAAACTTGCAATTAACAAAACAAACAACGTATGTTGCCATGACCCTGAGATTGTTGACCACTGGCTGTTCCAGCGTAACCGGTTTTTTCCAGGCTCGACGCGTACGTGACAAGCGGCCAGTGGTCACGCACACATGCCCCGCTTGCTTGTAGTAGTGCAACCGATTCGTGCGGTTATATGAAGCTTTATCTCTGTTCCGTTTATTTATTCATGTGGTTCTAACACCTGGGGGCCTAGACAAAGTCACATTTTCAGTAACGATAACGAAGTTAGAGAACTCCAAAATGTATGGAATTGACATATGCTTTCGAAAGATCACGTGATCGACCGTTTTCGACCTGGCCACACAAACATAGTTATAGATAGGTGCGAGCGCGAGGCAATATAATTATTAATTATATACATCCGAGTGAGATAGTTATTTGGATTGATCGGATAATTTTAATATGTTTAATACTAAAAAAATCAATGTTTAAAAATTATTGACTATAATTTCATTTTGATAATTGAGTAAAATTACAGTGTGTAAAATAAGTTTTGCTCAGCTTTGTAGGTTACAGATATGTTCGTACAATTTTCTTTTAAATATATTTTTGGTGGGTATTATTCGCAGGTCAACAGGCAGTTTGTTCGAGAGAGAGAGATGGAAGTAACAGTAAAAGAATTTTACAAATAACACAAATTATCTCAGTCGTCGTATATCATGACGATACTTTATCAAAATTTAATCACATTTATTTTGTAAAATACACAAGAAAATAGTGAAACGTATACTGTGCGATGTGCGTACATATGACCATAGATAATATACTATATAGGGTACATAATATGACTGAGTAAACGAAGGCTACCCAGCGAAGCGTCGCAAAAGACCTAATACCATAGATGTGAGATGATTATAGTATTCTATGGTTATCACTATACTAAGTATCTGGCAACGGATGACGTGATTTCTAATATTATTCCGAAGAAAATATGAGAAAATTACGCTTTATACTTTGACAAATTTAAGTTGCTATTTTATATACCTTTGCTACCTGTTATCTAACAAAGCCACAATGATCCACACTTCATAGTAGCATACTATGAAGTGTGGATATGAAGTGTCTCTAAAAGAAAACAAAAAAAAAAACAAAAAAAACCTATGTTGGGAGCATGCGCTGAGAAATTTTCATCTTTTACAAAATAACGAAGGTCCGGCGATCACGGGCTCTTAGTCTATGACGTTATTTAGTGATGATAGCTAGCCTTCGATTATTCGTAATTTAATTTCTATTGATTGCTATTTTCTTGCTGAAATTGCTTTCACTTTTTCCTTTTAAACAAAACAACATTTCTTCCGAGCATTAGCTAGATCATTTCTGCGTAATTACGTCCAAAAATAACAAATTAAAATACTTAGATATGTTTCTTATTTTAGTATGTTTTTTTTTTTTGTATTTTCCTAATTTTTAACATGCTTTGTTCTAGGCTCCGTTGACACGTGGTAATTTTTTTCTTTATTTTTTCTGTGTATTTCCAAGTCTGACAAGCATAAATTAGTCACGGTAAAAGGCAGCTCGACATGGCTTTAGTTTCATATTTACTGACATATTACTTTTAAAAATTTCCTTAAGGCTCCAGTACTTATTCCAAGTAAGTTGAATACGCCTGTCGATTTCTGAATAATTACTCTCCTTATCAAAGCCAATTTGTTTGCCTAAGTATATATATTTGTTCGTATATTTCATCGTTTCGTCTTTTCCATGCTGTTTGTCATTACCATAGTTTTTGCGAGGTGTATCTCTAATCCTACCTGTTTACTAGCCACATTAAGTGATTGGATCATGACTTGTAATTGCGAGCTTGATTCCGATAAAAGCACCAAGTCGTCAGCAAATCGGAGGTGGCTCTGGTACTTTCCGTCTATGTTTAGGTCGCTAATTTTCCAATCGAACTTTCTTATTATCGACTCTAGGATGGCAATTAACAGCTTCGGGGATGTCGGGTCGCCTTGTCTTATTCCTCTTTCAATGGGAAAGCTTGGGCCGACTCTTTCCAATTTTACTCTGCCCGTGTTGTTATTAAAAATACTTTTTATTACCTGTACATACTCCTTCTCTACCCCTTGCTCTATTAGCGTTTTCCAGATATTTGAATGTGATACGGTATCAAAGGCTTTTTGTAGTCAATATAGGCGACGTATAGAGCTCTTTGTTTTTCTTGATATTTTTCAATCAGTATTTCCAGAGTGTGGATATGGTCTATAGTCGAGAAACTTCCTAAATCCCACTTGTTCTATGGATTGTTCCGCTTCCAGTCGAATACTTATTCTTTGGTTTATGAGAGAGGAGAATAATTTATATAAACAAGGCAATAAGCTTATTGGCCTGTAATATGCAACATCAAAATCATCATAAATTAGTATTATATCTGACTGTGACCATTGTGCCGGTGTTTTGGAATTTTTCAAAATTCAGTTGAATAAAAATGAGTTAACGGTAGAGCCAGTAACGAATGAACCAATTATATAGCTTCGTTGGTGATGTTGTCTGAACCAGGGCTTTTATTGGTTTTTAATATATTTATTGCTTGTATAACTTCTGTTTTGACGAATGGTGTACATCTCGTAGAGTTTAACGTCTGTCCAATACGAATTATTTCGGTCAATATTTTCAAAGTTATGAGCGCTATAAAGTTTTTTGTAAAAATCTGTTGCAATTCCTATAACTTCATTACGACTATTCAGGGATTTTCCTTCGCTATTTAATCCGTCTATCCGTGTCTTGTTTGTTCTTAATTCCTTGAAAGCTTTTTTCGAACTGCCTGACTGTAGGTACTAGATGTTTTTCAACAGTGTCCGATCTGTATCTTGTATAGTCGCAATTTATACGCTTGCTTATTAGCTTGTATAACGCTGATAATTCATTTTTCATTGACCTAGTTTTGTTTTTGGTATTTTGCAGTATTTGTCTCTTCTTCATAAGCGCTAGAGTGCTCTCTGATAAGATTTTATGTCCTTTTTTGTATTTTATCAGGTAGTCGAGCTTCTTGGAGGCTTTGGGTGATAGCTTTTAGTATTTTATTGTAATAAGTTTGGACTGATATATTTTTTTGAGGTTCTAGTAGGTTCGTCGTTCTTCAATGTACAGTTTTGGTTATTTTTAAATCCAGTTCGGTTCTTTTTTATTTTTGATATTGTTATTGTTGCTCTAACTGGTCTATGATCTAAAGAAAAATTAAGATTCAATACATCAATGTTTTGTACCATACCAAACTGCAGAAGGTGTTGTCCCCCTGGACTGGAGGACAAGGGTTTCCGTTTCTCTACACTCACCATACGAAACAGTAATCGGGCATTCTGTGAGAGCGTTATCCCTCTCCGGCCGCGCGTGAGAGCGTGGCTCTACCACGTATAAAATACATACATATATATACTAAACAATAACTGAATTATATTCAATTTTATTTCATACCAATACTATCACTTACTGAATTAAAAATGTCAGATAATAAACTGAATAGAATTTAATCCGTCCACAGGAACCTGCTTATCAAATTGCAGTCCACGCTCTATTTCGCATGTGAAGGGCCTAGTTTTGTTATTTATTATAATATTGGATTGGATTCAGAATTCGAATGTATATTGCTTATTGAAAGCAATATGCATTCTACCTTCCCAACTATATCAAAATGTATTACCTGTCCTGAAATTAACTTTATAGCTCTTAGAAAAAAGACTCGAATTCGTTAGTAACTATTGTTACTTACATTACAATTGCCAAGTGCAAGCATTACCGCAAGATAATGCTTATAACATAATTTTCTATTGTATTTCTTGCAGTTCCTCGTCATAACCTACTTAAGCCTGTACAATTTTTTCTATCTGGATCAAGGTAAAGCAAATTTCATACCTTCATATGATGAGTACAGGACGTGTATCAATGTTAGAGCAGTAAAGAGTCCCACGTACTCACAACACCGTACAATGTTTGATACATACAAGTATATACATTATAAATACGTACAGCAAAGCAGTGGAATAATTTTCCGGCGTCTGTCTTTCCATCCGAATACAATCTGGGCGTCCTTGACCACAATCGTCACCAGATGCGATGGTGGTCAAGGACGGGCCTATTTATAATAAGAAAAAAAAAACATGATTTTTCATGAAATTTTGTAATTATAGAATATTTTATTTTAAATTTTATGTAGTTATGTATTATTAGTGAGAAAATTATTTTTTAAGACCTAGCAAACCTCATTCGCCCAGGTAGTGTGAAATTAAGACGAGCGCCCAGTTCGTACCACCGTTCAATATTTAGGAGTATTTGAACTTAAATCGAATACGGACATGTCATTGTTTCTATAACTTTTTGTAAACGATTTTCATATTTAAAGATCCGCCTAATAATGTCTGGCTCAAAATACCTATAGTTCAACAAAATCGCAATGAAACAGGGCTTTTAAGTCAACGCTTAATATGGAAAGATTTGCTAATGATAACCTATCCCATATACGATTCCGACGTGGAATTATTAAAGTGATGTCGAAATGACGTAGTTAAGAAAATATGAAAAATATTATTTGACTGTACAATGTAGATATACAAAACGACGTTATCATTACTGGTATAGCCCTTCTAAATTCCACTGCTGAATTTAGGCCTCTCCCGTAGGTAATCTCAAAGGGGATAATTGCCATAGATGCCACGCTTAGCAGTCGGTTTGGCATCCGCAATTTTTTTTATTTTTCAGTTGTAATTTTTTATGTGGTAGAACCATGCTACAGCTATATTAGTAGTATAGTTGTAGCACGAATGGGTCGGCTCGACCGGGGAAGGACCACACTCTCACAGAATACCAGCGTAAAATAGCAAGCTAACGCTGCTATGTTTCGTATGGTGAGTGTAGAGAACCGGAGACCCTTTTACTGGAAACGAGGCATTCAATCTTAATCTTCAGGGGTGACAACGCATCTGCATTTTGATACGAACCAAGGATAGATGTAGATGTCTATGGGCCACAGCAACCACTTACCATCAGTTGGACTGTGAGCTCGTTTGTCACTCTTATGCTAGAAAAAGACCCTGCTGCCTATCATCTGGTTTGTTTCCCCCTGCCGCCTTCTTACGACACACAGAATAATATCATTAGGTTATCTATATTCAATAGCTGACTGTACAGAACGTTTGTCTATTATGATCTCATTATTTTTAATGTTGTATAACAGCGAAGTTAAACCTACTCCTAAGTACTTATTAAATGTGTCTACGCCCTAAAATATCACGATTTATTGGTTGACAAATTTGTTACCACCCATATAAAAAGAGCACATCTTCTTACGGCAGACCAAATGTGTATTATTCGAGTAATATCCTTTTAAAATCGGTTATACACATATAAATAAAATTGAAGAGTCTGTGTTCTGTCTGTAATATTGAAATAACTGGCTTCTCTATTAAGCGCATGAGTTTTTTTTGTGTGTTATTAAAATATCTGTTTGTTATGAACTGAACCGATTGTGATGTAACTTTACGAACAGCCAAGTCAATCTATTTATTTAAAATATAAAAGATTTTTAGTATTGATGTGGTCACTATAAGATGTTGTTAGGTTAGCTAATTACGTAATAACTTAACACAGAAGGACCGTTAAGTAGGGACTGAATAAATTAACCGACTTGGTATTACACGGATCTCAAAACTTTTTACGGTAGAAGGACTGAGTTCCGAGACTTGAGTTTTTTTTTACAACTTATGTTTTTGATGGCATATAGCTTTTAGTATACACCAACTGGTATACATTACCTTTACACGAATGAAACAAGCACACAGTCCACCTGATGGTAAGTGGAAGCTGTCGCCCATAGTCAAGTACATCTATTCCCGATTAAGAAACAAAATGAAGGAGCACCGAAAGACTAAGACTTGCCTGGTTGCCAGTAGAAAGGGTATCCGGTTCTGACCCTATGAAAGCCAGTAACATTAATGCCCAAATACTCAAATGCTACTCAATTTTAAGACGCCATTAAGTCTCGTGCTGTCTCCAACACTTTAAATCAAAGTGACTGTGACACCACGGGATTTAACAACATCTAGGAATGGAGTGGCGTTTGCGTATTTGGCTATAAACTGCTATTTCAGAGTGGAGACGAGGCAGTCGACACATTCGTGCTGCAACCATTATATCTCCAGCGTGGATCTACCACGTTATAAATCCTGACACCTAAAAGATTTGACCATATTCACGATGTTTGGCAGGCAGGATGGTGAACGGAGAAACAATCGTGAGATGTCAACTTACAAATACGAGGTAGAGTATGAGAATGCGTTCACAATTTCTGAATAACTGCCATTTGTCTGCCATCTAAGCTTCATGCATTATTCTAGTAAATGTGCACAAGTAAAAAGAAAACCGTATTCGATTAACAACGCTCTTCATGTCGTATTTCTCTTGTACATAGCGACCAATGTGTAAATTTTAAAGTGCATAAAATACCTTCTCAAAACTCAGCATCAGCTCACGGGCTAACCTCAAAATACCTACATAAATAATATGATAAATCTTCGTCGACAATAGATAATAACTAGTGCCGAAGTGAACGTTTATAGTTATTCTATTTCACGGTGAAGTTTCGACTTTGGTTGTTGTTGTGCCGTGCACATACACATTGTGTTAAGCCCGCCACATACATACGGAATTCCGTTTCGATATTCCAATTCTGAATTCCGAACGCAACAAGTCCACATAAAATCTGTGACCGGTCACACAGGTACGGTAGTTTTCCGTTCGAAATTTTGCGGGCAAAACGGGATTCCGTATGTGTGTGGCCGACAAGTTCGGAATTCCGAAACAAAATCCCGAAACGGAATTCCGTATGTATGTGGCGGGCCTTAGTGTGCGTAGGCCTCGTGAGCGCTACCACACGAGTAAAGTAACCGTACAGAGGCAAAGCTTCTAACGAGCTGTCAAAATTTTTATCTATTTTGGTAGGGTTGACACAGGAGGATAAAATTAAATAACAAAACGTTTATCAGCTTTTATTATATACTTAAGATACAATATCTTTTTTTAAATCTACTTTTTCTAAATATTTTATTTTTATAATTTTTGTTCTTCAACAATTAGTTGTGTCTATTAATTAAATCGTAAATTATAATTTAATGTAAAGTTTTTTTGTAAATAATTTATTAGAAAGTACTCACATGGCATAACAAATATAAAATTATATAGCGTTTATAATATTTCAATACCAATATTTACATAATTTCTTTCGAGATTAAAATATTAGCGAAATTTTTGTTCAAGTAATTCATACATTCATTTCAGATACATTCTCACATTGGATGGAACTCGAATAAGCACCATTTGTTGGCAAGATGAGTGTTGGAAAAGCATTTCCAAATAAATATTTTACAGTTCTTTTTTTAGAAAACTTAATACAGGATTTTTCAGTGATTCTCACAGATTATATTTCGTTGCTTTTTTATAATCAAAAAGTTTTAAAAGGAGATCTTCTCGTCTGACAGCTGTTTACCACTCGTGTCGTCTGAAATTATAATTAAAAACATTAACCTATGTTTTTAATTTATAAACGTAATTATTCAATTATAAACATTATAAAAATAACTATTCAATCACTTATATAAATTATTTGACGGCTCCGTGGCTTAGCAATCAGTTGTTGCACTGGGAGCCGGGGGTTCGAATCCCGCACGGAACAAGTATTTGTATGGCCTACAAAAAGTTGTTCCGGGTCTGGATGTTTGTCCTTGTGCAATTTATGTTTGTAAACTGCCTCCACGACACAGGAGATAATCCTAGTGTGGGGGTAACGTTTTTTTTTAAAAAAAAAAGATAAGTAAAAACACGGAATATAATAGGTAAATTTACGTTTTCTTTCAATGTTGAGGTATATGTATGAGGTATTTATCTGCTACATTAAAAATAATAAATTATAGTTATAGTTTAGTCACTACTTACCTAGTGGTGTCTTTGGGATAATTAAAAAGTGATATTTTCAACCTACGCAACAACAACCAGAGTCAAAACTTCATCGTGAAATAGAATAAAATACTGGTGGTATTTTATTACGGGATATAATATTTATGAGTATAACAAAACTTCTAGAAGGAATAGTTTTGTTCCATTTGACCAAATCTCATTTTAGTTATACAGAAAGAATGTTTTACTCTATTCGATTAATGAAGAGGACATCATGGGAATAATATTTTATTGTTTCACGTTTTAAAGCATTGAAAACCAAAAGTAGGTTGGTTGCGAAATACGAAACGTGATGTGAACAGTTCACCTCATTCTGTAACTTAGTTAAAAATATGTAATACTTTGACATTGCCACGGCCAAGGTAACAAAGCAAAATTTTATGTTGACCTTACGTAAATTGTTTATATGCATATGATTGGGTTTTTCACAATTTTAAATATAAATGTTATTATCGCATCTATAGCGACCGATTTTGGTCACGGCAGTCAATCTCAACGGAGGCTAGCCATCTGCGAAGGACAGGATTATAGTGCTCGAGTGTGCTCTCTGGATTCCACTTCTCCGGATGGCAATCCGACACGGCCGGAGAGAGATAAGGCGCGGGACTAACGGCTTTACGTACTTTCCGAGGCACGGGGAAGAAACAACACCAACTTCCTGACTCTGGGCTGCTACTGAGAATTTCTTGTCAGATAAAGCTAATAACTAATTTTGACCCGACCCGGGATTCTAACCCGGGATTCAAACCCGGGACCTCATAATCAACAATTTACAACCACTAGATCAACGAGGTAGTCCATACATACAAGTATATAGTATACATGTATGTAAATATAAACTAAGTGTCAGGGCGTTCTCTTTAAAGATAGAATATTTTGTCTTTCTGATGTAAGAATGCTTACGTTCAGCAGTGGACTTTTGATAGGCTGTACCCTTCGATTAACAAGCTGTACCTGAAACGATAACGTTGTTTTCTGCCGACTTCCAAAACGGAATTTTAAAATTTTAAAAAGTATTTAATAAAAAGCTGTTATTTTAACATTACAAACAAACATTTTATTTATTTGTATAGATTACCATTACCACGTGCTCGGCGTTGAGGGAAAACATCATTATGTAACAAATGTACGGTATTGTGAGTACGGTTGACTCTTCCCTGCTATAGTCAGTCTGGATTTGTGCCGATCTCTTACGTATGCCAGCAGTATTATGAATAGCTTATTACTTAATAGCGGTTAACAAAAGTATCCTTATCTCAGCTCTTCACAAAATACTTAGACCAGGAACGGGAGAAGCGGGGAGAATATAAAACGTTTAGATACGAACTTGTTGATCGAAGTTACGAACTGACGATTATGTATATTTTCTTCTACATTCGCGTAGCAACAAATGATATCATGGAGTGCCCTGGCGTCTAGTAGTTATTTATTTAAGCCTACCAATATCGTACACATCATACATTTACATTAAAATATACGACGTCAATTACCATAATATAAAAACTAAAACTAATAACTTAAAATATCGTACAGTCCTACCCCCCGCGGTATAGTGCTAAGAACGCTGGCTGCGTTTCCTCGCTGAATGGCTATATGTAGCCTATCAGCAAGAAAAGTACCAGCCCTCTTATCACCAGCAGCGATGACCAGTCGAGGATACAGTTCTTCTAGGAACCTTACTTTACTAGGACCCCACGGACCGATAGTGTCCACAGCAAATGGCACAAATATGTAGTCATCTCTCAGAGAGTCATATTTATGGCGCTCGCGTTCAGCAGCTGCTTCTGACATCATCATATATAGAATAGAATAGAAGATAATAGAATAGAATGGAATATTATTCAATATAGTTATACACTTAAATAAAAGTCATTTTTTACTTTACTGCTATAAATTATTGGTCATGTAGAAAGAATGAACGAGGAAAGAGTGACAAAGCAAATTTATGTTGCAGAAGTGAACGGCAGGGTCGGGAAGGGACGCCCTAGACGAAGGTTTATCGACCAAATCGGCGATACATTAAAAATCGGCCAGATCAGGAGTACCCTTAACCGACGAGCGTGTATGCGTAGATATATGGATGTAAAAGAGGCGAGAGAGGTATGTCAGGATCGCGCCAAATGGAAGTCCGTAGTCTCTGCCTACCCCTCTGGGTGACAGGCGTGAGTGTTTATGTATGTATGTATAAATATTACCGCTATTAATATTATAATTATTCAACATTTTACTTATACTACGTAGTACTATTATTTATTCTGTGCTTATACGAATATGAGAAGCTTTGTCTTCCATAAGAGCATCTTTAAAAATCTTAAAACATTTAACCTGCAATTACTTGTAAATGATATTACCGTAACGTATCAGTGTCGAATGAGTACTTAACGATAATGACTTGTGTCCTTGATACGTCTTATGATTCGAATTCGTGACTGTTCATAAGCCCACGCAATAAAGACTCGAGAGCTCATGACATATTCTTTCTGCCAAGTCGAAGTTTCCCTTTGTAAAAAAAAATGATTGTATTTACACTTAGTAAAGTGGTGGTTGAAATCCTTAATCCATAAGAGATCATTAAAAATATAACAATAAATTCATTACTTAAATTTATACGCAATAGAGCCACGTTGCAGCTACATTATGGTTGTAACACAAATGGATCGACTCGACCGGGGTAGAATCTCACCTATCTCATAGAATTACTATCTAATAACAGTTGCAGAGCCACGCGGCAGCTTTTGCTGTCACATGTATGGGCCGGCTCGAACCGGGGTGGTACGAAACAGATTACCATCGTGAACTAGGAGTTTACTTCTGCATTTGACCTGATAAGTGCAAGTGGCTAGAGGCACCCAGTGCAGAGTGGACCGAACTCTTTCTGATCGGCTTGACTCACTAGCACTGCGAAAGATGTTGCATCTCTTTTCGTATTTTATTGCATCTATCTCGGGGAGAGCTCTGAGGAATTGTTCAGACTAATTCCAGCTGCTCAGTTTCATCATCGCACATCGCGCCAAAACTCGCGATACCATCCATACCATATGGATGATTGGCGGTTCACCACTGTGCGATTAACGAGAAATTTTCTTCCTCGAACAATTTCCTTGTGGAATCGAATACCACCAGCGATTTTTTCAGACTGATACGACTAAGAGACCTTCAAGAAAAGAACCTACACTTTTTTTAAAGGCTGGCAACGCACCTGTGATTCCTCTGCTGTTGCAGTTGTTCATTGGCGTCGGTCAACACTTACCATCAGGTGACCCGCATGCCGTTTGCCCCCTCTTCTATAAAAAAAGAATACCAGCGTAAATAACAGCTCAATGCTGCTGTGTTTCGTATGGTGAGTGTAGAGAACCGGCGACTTTCTTAACTGCTAACGAGGCATTCTATCTTAGTCCTCAGTGGTGAAGTTCGCATCTGCATTTTAGTTCTTAATCGAGGATAGAATGATGATGTCTATGGGCCGCAGCATCCACTTACCATCAGGTGGACTATGTGCTTGTTTGTCACACATATTCTATGAAATAAAATCACTTTAATAATATTATAAACAACAAGTTTATCAGCATTTTCAATCATAGAATTAGAATGAAATTTTAACCAATCACCCCATCAATCCGCAGGTGTTGTAAGAGGCCACTAAAGGAAACACTAGAAAAATTTTTTTACAAACATTATAAAAACATTTACGCTAGATGTGAAATACACAGAACGATAACGGGAAGCAACGTCCAATGTTGCGAGACATCTGCTATCGCCAATCAGCTACTACTTCATGGCAAATCGTTAATAGTATGGGAGGGGCTCAGGTCCATTGGTGGCCTTTTAGGAGCTGATGACGATGAAAGAAAAGAAGAAGATTATAGATAACCGGTTTCTGGTTTAGCCAGTCTTTCCGTTTTCAATAAAATGTAGTAATTGATTTAATAAATAAACAAAATTAATAATTGTTCTGGGTCAGTAAAATGGCAAGAAACCTAAATAGTATTTTTGGGACAGTTGCAAGTAAACAATAACGAATAAAATTTTATCTTAAAACTTATATTATATATACGTTTGGTATCCGGTCCGTGGCATTTAAATTTCAACACAAAGATAAATTAATAGAAGACGTTTAGTCGCCACTCTCCAAAATATAGAGCAGATGCAGTGCGTCGATGCCTCACGCTATCGAGAACAAAATTTCGCAATTGATAACGACGGCGAAAACGAATGAACGGCGTGATTTCGATAATTAGCTGCCGTTTAGTCTCCAGTCACGTTTTCAGGAGGCCGGTATGTTATTTACGATCTTTGCGAGGACGTATTTGATTGACTAGTGTTACTACACTATCCCATCCATCCATCCATTAAAGCCTTTAAAATTGTACTGCTAAAGCAGTTTTTGTCATAGTTCCCACGCTTAGCAATTCTGTATTATTTTCATTATTTTGAGGTGTTATCAATAAGATGCTGCTGCCCATCTCCTGTTTCAGTTTCCCTCACTCACTGCACACTACACCCACGGGATGACATGGGATAGTGGATTCTCATACGTCGCCACGGTACAGCACATGCCGCCATTACTAATACTGCACAGACTAATGTAAACTACCAAAACGACCATTATACGTTATTTTAATGATCTATATTTTATTTGGAATTTCCTGATGATCACGTATTTTTCCGTGCATCAATGGTGGCTGTCTTAATGAACCCAAGGTCCCAAAACCAATCTATGAGAGTGATAAAACTATATGCTGCATATACATCTCAAATATGCTATAATTGCAGTACCATATGGGCCCATACCAATGACAGGAAGCAGTAAAATATGGAAGTAACCGATATCGAATTTAATCTAAATTATAAGTGTACTATCTCGCCAGGCAGACGTTGTCCTGCCCTTTCCAACGACTCTTCCTATAAAAATCCTTAAATTCGCAATAAAATTTTGAGGGTCATTTATCGGGATAAAAACTATCCTATCTCTCTAGTTGGACCAAAATTCACATAGTGTGCCAAATTTCATTGAAATCAGTTCAGTAGTTTAGGAGTCCATCGCGGACAAACAACGTGACACGTAATTTTTATATATAAAGATATTTTTAGATTTTAAAATGAAACACTTCTATAATAACTAATATAATAGTATAGCTTATTTGACTGTTTATAAGAAAGAGCACGCAGTTTCAAAGAGATTCAAAAGATTTTATTATTGCTATTGTTCTTTGTAACTAAAATTTTTGATAGTCCGCTTCAGATGAGCCGTTGCCGTAAGTCGAAGGAAATGTTTGTTTTTATTTTATTTTATTGATGGTTATCACTACCAACATTCTATTAAGCGATTCCTTTTAGATTCTTAAAATATGCTGTATTGCTGCAAGCATTGTATTATTGTACGTGTTACTCATTGATATTATATGGTCGATTGAATTAATCATTTTTCTTTTTTTTATTAAATTACCTTAGATCTGACTGTTCTCTTTTCGCGTTCGCGAGATTTTACCGACAACGAAACGATGTGCTTGCGACTTCGCACGAAGTGACGAAGTATTCGCGAATATGTAGCAACATACATCGCGATATCGCGAATATTCGCGTTATCGCGATATGTGTGGCCGCGGCATTAAAGTAAGTATTTTTTTATTGAAATTATGTAATAATACCTGAATTATGAAAATTATTACGATTATTTTGGCTCTCCGGTTCCATAAACTGCTCATTAAATGCTATCCAAAAATAGAATACAAGATAAGCACTTGGGGGCGATAACATCGAGAGCAGACAGTGTCGGTGACCCTAACCTTGCAGCTTACGCTACTTAACATAAAAATGTATTTCTGCGATTATCCGACTTATTTAATACATTATTACACGTACACTTATACGTACATAAAATAAATGTTACACCAACACAATCTTTATTTATATTATAATGATCCGCCCCTTCTTTATAAAAAAAATTTATGCCTATAAAGTTTCAAACATATTTATTAATTTAGTGATGTTTGAAACACTAGTGATGATTGAAAATAAATTAGTGTATTATATTACGACAGGCCAGTCCCAAAGCCTTGCGAATTTTTTTGTATGAGACACTGGCCAGGAATAATTTATTTTGAAAATACAATTACTTACACGTAAAAATACGAATGTTACGACTTCAAATTATGTTACACATTTTCTGAGCTAAATAGAAATAGACATTTTCTTTTATTGAAAACTAGCGCCTATTATTAGTAGGGTATATTATTGCGGCGTTATTTATATTTAGGATAATCAAAGACTACTTCTTTCATTAATTTTTCTTTTATTTAAAAAAGAAAGCTTCAAGTTCTTCGGATAAAATATAGCCTAATTCCTTCCTGGCATCGCTCTTTATCTGTTTAGGAAGACAGACATACAAACATTATAAAGATGATTATTTATTGAATAAAACTATTTTTACAGATTTTATCGCGTTTAATTTTGCTTATTTTGAATTTCCGACACTACCCGCCCGACTTTGCAATACCCGCGTTTACTGGGGACTGAAGTAGTGTTTGACGTCCTGATGTCAAAGTTAACCGAGAGTATCTTTAACTTATTAATTATTAATTTTGGTCCGATCTACACAGAATGAGCTCCCAGGTGTAGGAACCCAAGCAGGTAATACCCAGCCTCCTTATATATTAAAATTAGGATGTTTTTTTTTTATTTCTATAGCCTCACGTATCATCCTTGGTAGGAATCGATGTTCTTTTGCGAGGATTTGTGGTCTATCAAATCTGATGTAATAGTGGGGGCCATTTAGGATATGATTACAGACTGCAGACTTGGTGTTTCATGTCAGCTATATGTTCTATTACACAGGTTTTATCTTTTTGTTTACCCCATAGGCAATATACACCACATTTATATTCAAGCTTGTACACTCCTACGACTTGTAGAGGCATATTATACTTGACGGATGGTAAGAACTGACTAATCTTCTTCGGCGGCTTGTAGTACATCTTGAACTACATCTTGAAGCAAGATTCTAATAGAATCTTGCTTCAAGATGTAGCCAATCTTGTCTCCAACTGCTCTGAAATATGGTAGTACATCAGGCACACGCTCGATTATGATCAGTTTAATTCGTTCTCTGTGACGGAGCAAGATACTCGAAACTTGTTCTGCAAGACTTAGCTTAGCTAACATAAACTAGTTAAGCTGTTTCTACTGTATCATCAGCAAATACTACATCAAACTATGTAAAGTTGTGGGTAAGTCATTAATATAGACAAGAAAACTCCAAACTCCAAGGTAAATTGATTTTTTTTTATAGGAGAGGGGGCAAACGAGCATGCGGCTCACCTGATGGTAAGTGACTACCACCGCCCATGAACAACTGCAACACCAGGGAAACCAGAGGAATCGCAGATGCGTTGCCGGCCTTTTAAAAAGGAGTAGGCTCTTTTCTTGAAGGTCCCTAAGTCGTATCGGTCCGGAAAAATCGCTGGTGGTAATCGATTCCACAAGGAAGTTGTGCGAGGGAGAAAACTTCTTCTAAATCGCACAGTGTTGGACCGCCAATCATCCAGATGATATGGATGGTATCGCGAGTTTTGTCGCGATGTGCGATGGTGAAATTGAGCGGCTGGAATTAGTCCGAACAATTCCTCAGAGCACTCCCCGTAGTAGATGCGATAAAATACGCGAAGAGATGCAACATCTCTACGCAGTGCCAGTGAGTCAAGCCGATCGGAAAGAACTCGGTCGTCGAACCGCTCCTTGTAATGTGAGGCTGAACCTGCGCCTTGTAAGGTTGCAAGCGGTGTGCCCGCATGAAATACTGTCCCGCTCTGCTGAGCACGCCAAGCTTTTTAGACGCCAATTTGGCCTTCTCCAAGTGACCACGAAACTGCACGTCACTCGATATGTCCACGCCGAGGATTCCGATATTGGCTGAGGCAACAAGGGGAGTGCCTTGAAATTGAGAAGATACGACAAAGGGATTCTTTTTAGCGGTAAACGCGCAAACTTGTGTCTTCTGGGGATTGAATTGGACTACATTTAGTCACCCCCAGTCTGAGACTTTGTGAATTTTATAGTTTATGGAATTAAGTTGTTCTAAAAATGTAGTTACTTTGTCTGATGGTAAAATTGTGAAAGTATCGTCTACATACCGCTTGTTGAACCTTGGATTTATAGGTGAAATAAGAAGGACTTTCTCCTCAAAATTCTTCGTAAATATATCGACGACAATAGTCTCCTATTGCGTATTACATGCGAGTCCATCGCCACACCATCTACTTGTCTGTAGAACTCTTCCTTCTATATACTATATATTGATATTCTGCTG